GGGAACCCTAGCAAGTGTTTCCAGCAATGCCTAAGTTACAAGCTCACTCTGCACGGAACTGATAATGTATCTCAGAACTAGAAGGAACCAGTGCAGTATTCTTTAATCTCCAACACCTTTGCATTTCCAAATGATCATGTTCAATTTAGCGTCTAGCATTGTGCCATAAGCCCCTTGGCAGGAACTTCATTGCGTTGGAACAAGATCATCTCACGCCACTCCCTTAGAACCAGCCAATGACAGGATCAAACTAAGCTACATGTCAATCTGAGCTCCCCAAGATGAAAGGACAATTTCAGTCATTTCTCCTTTGGTTTCATTTTTTACTTTGATTTTTGGATCTCTGAGCCCTCTTACAACATTGTACTGTAACCAGTGCAGGTAGAAGAGCTCTTCATTGAGTTTTTAAATTGGAGATTATGGTCATTAGATGCTCTTCAAAATGCTTTCGCTTCTAGTTTCAAAGTTCACTGTAGCTTCCTCATCGTGAAGGTTAAGGTACGAGAAAATAAACCAACCATTAAAAAGGACATTATAGAGGTTTATAAAATCATGAGAGGTATAGACAAGGTGAATGGCAGGTGTTTTTTTCCCTAGGGTGGAGTTTTGAAGACTAATGGACATATTTTTAAGGTGAGAGGAGAAAGATTTAAAAAAAAGCACAAGGGGCATTTTTTTTGTTTACACAGAAAGTGGTTTGTGTGTAGAATGAACTTCCAGAGGAAGCGGTGGATTCGGGTAAAATTACAATGTTTAAAAGACATTTGAGGGGCATGGATAGGTTGAATAGCCAAGGTCTTTTTCCCAGGATAGCAGAGTCCAGACCTAGAGGGCATAGATTTAAGTCAGAGGGGAAGATTCAAAAGGGACCTAAGGGGCAACTTTTTCACACAGATGGTGGTGTACGTATAGAATGAGCTGCCAGAGGAAGGTGGAGGGTGGTACAGTTACAACATTTAAAAGGCATCTGGATGGATATATGAATAGGAAGGGTTTAGAGTGATATGGGCCAAATGCTGGCAAATGGAACTAGATTAATTTAGGATGTCTGATCAGCATGGACGAGTTGGACCGAAGGGTTTGTTTCCATGCTGTACAATTCTATCACATTTGGATAAGTACGTGAATAAGAAATGTTTGGAGGGATATGGGCCAAGCGCAGGCAGGTGGGACTAGTTTAGTTTGGGATTATGGTTGGCACGGACTGATTGGACCAAAAGGCCTGTGCTGTATGACTGTATTACTCTCCAGAATGTTTTTGCTTCCAATCTCGCAGTGTTTAATAGTATTAGTAAGTGTTAAACTGTTCAGTGAGTGACATATACAGATCCACCGACACCCCAGATATATTAGATGCACCGTAAGAGTAAGGATAAGAATCATTATTATCAAAAATTATCTTAATTTCCTGCTTGCAACTTCCAAAAGGACTACAGAAAGTAACTGGAAACAAGGAGAGACAAGTCCAAACAGAAGGGGATAAATGAATTAGAATGTAATTAGCCACAATTAACAAAAAGGACAAAAACAACTAATTGCCAGTGAAAAAGACATTTGTAGCTTGAGGGGTATCAGTCTGCAAATGGCATGGAGCAAGGCAAGGAGGCAGCCTTTCTTGAACTAGTCGGATTAAGAGAAAAGCAAGGAAGAAAGCAGATGAAGAAAGGTAAATAAACAACAGGGAAAACAAAGGGAGGAAATGTCTACAAAAGGAGGTGCAGAGTGAGAACAAGTGGCAAAAGAGAGAGATAATGCGAGATGAAAGGAGACGAGGCTGAGTCGAGAAAAATGAACTGTGCAAAGCTGACCATTAAAGGAAATGAAAATACAAGCCAAAGAGGAAGTGAAAGGATCAGAGTTGTGAACAGAACATCACTTTCTCCAAGGAGCAGATACAGCTCAGCGAGCAGGAAGTCACACCAGCCAAGCAGACTGCCACTGTTACCCAACTCTAAACTAATCAAATTAATCGTCGCATCTTTCACAGTCAGGAATAAAGACACTGTACCAGTTAGCATCAAGCTGGAAGCAGGCTGCCTGCAATCGAACACAAGTGCTTCATTTAAAGCCTGATCCTTTGATGGGATTTGTTGGATTCTCTCTGTGGCACCATCCCTTCTGCTGCTTATCACAGAGTGGAGCTGGTGTTGGAACTACACGAGTAACATGTGAAGGAGTTCAAATCCACTTGCCTTTGTTAAACTGTTGGCCCTAAATTTCTAACTTGTGTTAAAACATCCAGCTGACCAACCTCTAACTTAACTGCTAATGTAATAACAACATAACATTTTGGCATTTCTTCCTATCTTTATGCTATTTTGTTTAAAGATTAAAACGATTTGCAACCTTTCCTTTTTGGAAATGCAGACAGTGCCCAAAACGTCCCTTTGCCTGTTTGGAATTAGCCAGGACTGTGAATGGAATGGTAACCATTTGCACAAGTGCTCCTGTGCTACAGAAATTTTCATAGACTCCCTAGAGTATGGAAGAAGGCCATTCAGCCCATCCTGACCCTCTGAAAAGCATCCCACCCAAACCCATCCCAACCATGTAACCCTGCATTTTGCATGGCAAATCCACCTTGGACTGTGGGAGGAAACTGGAGCACCTGGAGGGAACCCATGCAGACACAGACAGTGTCTGTGCAAACTCCACAGACAGTTGCCTGAGGCAGGAATTGAACACAGGTCCTTGGTGCTGTGAGGCAGCAGTGCTAACCACTGAGCCACCATACCAACCCTTTTATCAGGCTTCCCACTACACAAACACAGGGAAGGGGCAGGGCTGAAGTTTGGTGCCTTGCCTTCACCACAGCCACAAAGGGTTTGCAGGTACTCACTCCTCTGGGCTTGCATTGAAATAAATCAACCATGTGGGAGGCACTGGAGGGCAAACTTGACTGTATCCCATCATGACAACAAGTGTCTTTGGGAGAGGTGAGATAAAGACCTGCAGAGCAAGAACACTCACCATCACACTAGACATTCTGATAAAACATTCACCAGCCAATCCACTTTCTATTTTGTGTTGATAGTTCTTGGGGTTAAAAGGATAAAGTGGGAACAAGGTGCTGAGTTGGATGATCAGTAATGATCATTTTAATGTCACAGCAGGACTGAAGGGCTGAATGGCCGACTCCCGTTCCCATTTGCTATGTCTAAGTCCTCACCTCTCTTTCACATGGCAAGGTTGAGCACCAGCAAATGGCTCAGTGCCTTTTTCACTCTAACAGTGTAACTTCTGGCTTCTGGGATGGTGTCACAAAACCAGGCATCAATCTCCAAGGGCAGGAGAGGTGAAACTTGGGCAAACATTGGGTAAGACAACAAATTCCAGAGGCCTGGGGTATGGGCAGCCAAACGCAAAGCAAACCCTGGAGGGATGCACAGAAAACTGCGATTGCAGGAGAGTGACATTGAGGGAAAATAATGGAGGAAGTTTTAGAAATGAATGGGGGGGGGGGGGGGGGGATGCTGGTGGTGGTAGGTTTGAGGAGGTGAAATGATAAAAGAGGGTCTTAAAGTGAAGGATAAGATTTAAAATTTGAGGCGTGGTTCATGGAGTTCAGCAAGGATGGGACGCAACAGAGACTACTGACGTGCTGAAGTTTATGCAGGTCATAAATTACAGATCATCATTAAAAGTCAACAGAGTGGTTAGAAAAACTCTATGCAGAGAATTGTTAAGATTTGTAATTCACACAAACAATGGAAGAAACAGACACTTTTGAAAGGGAAGGCTATTAGGAAAGAAAAGGGGAATGGGACACAATGGATATCTCTTCCAAAAAGTTGCGATGGGGGAAGCAGATTCTTTTGTTTTTTCCTCCCAAGGTTTGATTTCTCACTCAAAGTGACCATTCCTCGGATGTGAACCCAGACAGCAAGGGACATCATGCAGTGCAACTGTGGAGCATTTTACAATGCACTCATCCAGTGTCCATTGAAATTGGAGGCTTTGGGAGGGGTGACTAAAATACGAAACAAAAACCTGGAATTCTGTCTGACTTCCCCTGCTGAAGACCAAAAACACAGAAGCCAAGTCTTGATCTCCTCATTCTACTCTACCCAAGATTAGTTCACTCAACTGGGAGCGAAGGGGATATGCCTGTGCACCATCTTCCTCATTACCACCCATTCATCCATTGCTGGAAATTAATGAGGGATAAAAATGTCTAAAACTCACTCACATCATCATTTAGTCAGTACAAGGCAGCACTTGAATATGTCACACTAAACTAAAAAACAAAGCAGAATCCTGCAAGTGTCAGAAATCTGAAGTAAAAACAGAAAGTGTCGGAAAAAGCTCAGCCTCTGTGTGTAGAGGTAAAGAAAAACGGTGAATGTTTTCAGGTCTGTGACCTTTCAAGGTCTGCCTAAGCTATTGAATTTAATTTTTCCAGTATCTTCAGTTTTTGTTGGAAAATTTCACATTGGACAGATTCTCTAAACCTGACCCCTTGCCTGCGGTCTGGTAACCCGCCAGGTTAAGCTCACACCAACTGTCTCTCTTGAACGAGACAGCATACATTCATCCTCGAGGCCAGCATGACTTTCATCTGTTTTTTTTAAAAGAGCGTGTGACCCCATTAGTTAAGAATTTGGCCCATTTTGTGGCATGGCTGCATGCAGGAATTTGAAGTTATCAACTTGTCCTGGGCTCATCCCACAATGCACTCTGTCCAATTTCTCCCCCACGCACGTATGCAAAGGCCTCTTTACTTTAAAGATGCAGTTTCCAATGTCTCCCTCACCAGTCCATTCTCGACATGCTCCAGTCCCTGTGTAATCAGATCTAGACTGTCTTTACACCCTTCCTCTTCCAAGTTTGGGCCTACACCTCTTGGTATTTTGTCACATCAGATATAAGCTAAATTACTGCAGTGTCAGCAAACAGAAAAATTTGTTTCCCTCTTGCATTTATTGGGACATAGGTCTTTTTGCAGTAATGCTCATTTTCTGTATTACCAAGTGATTATTTGTCCTAATTCTGTTTAACAGGCTGTGTTGGAGGAGTCACAAGGATTTCACAGTTCTGGGTAACGATGGGGAAAGAAGAATGTGACCCTAGAAGAAGGCAAGAAGACTTCCTTCTCTTTGCCGTGAGAAATCTGATCACAGGGAAAGGGCTGGTTGGTGGGTTTGCGTAAATCAGTCCTGTTAGTAATCGTTAATCGGGTTAGTGAGGTTAGTATAACAGCAAACATACCAGCTGCTGCTTATTACTTTGTTGGATAAGACACAATGCAATATCGGAACAGAACAAAACGCGCGCTTCCTCAGCAGAGTAAAAGTCGTCAAAAGATTCACTTCAACAGCTCACCGTCCCCTTTGACAGAATCAACAGGAATTTTGCACTTGCAAGAACTAAGTTCCTTTTCTTTTGCAAACATTCAGTGGAAAATTCCTCATATATATAATTTTTGAACAGATTGGGCTCCTCTTGGTGAGGGACATTAGTGGGGAGATTTATAATACTTTCTGTTCCATGAATGAAGCACAGACATGTGAGGGTAGGGCAGTGTCAGATGTAGGGATGACCGACGCTGGTTCTAATGGAACCAGTCACAATGGAATCTATGAGCCCCTCAAAGCCCCCTTTGAAACGCACCACTGTGATGTCTGTATCTAGTGTCTGTGGCCGGTTAATTGTAAATGCAGTGCTGAGATCCCCTTGAACAGCACTCAGTTGAATTGCTTTCACATGGATCCTTATGGCTAAAGGAAGGGGTTATCCCTGCTGGTGGACCCTGTACTATCCCTGGTTTCCACATGGCTGGTTTGTTGGGAGGATAGGGAGTGGGACGGCTATCTGAATTTATACAGCACCTTTAAAACTGTGAAAGGTCCTTAGAAATGCCTAAAGTCCAGTGGAAAGCAAGACACTGATCCACACAGGAGGTATTGATGCAAAGCTTGATGAAGGGGTGGATTTTAATTAGCACCTTAAAAAGAGGAGATGGGAAGCTAAACAAAGTGGATGGCTTTGAGACGGGAGTTTCTGAGTCTAGGACCAATGCAGTTAAAACACAGCCACCGACTGAAGTCTACATATAAGTCTATAAAATCAAATGCATGGATAGGGTTGATAGTTAGAATCTTTTTCCCAGAATTGAAATGTCTAATACTAGAGAGCATGCATTTAAGGTGAGAGGGGGAAGAGTTCAAAGGAGATGTGAGGGGCAAGTTTTTATCCCCCCCACAGAGTGGTAGGAATCTCAAATGCGCTGCCAGGGATGGTGGAGGCAGATACGATAGGGGCATTTAAGGGACTTTTAGATAAGCACATGAATATGCAAGGAATGGAGGGATATGGACTAAGGATAGGCAGAAGGGATTAGTTTAATTCACTGTCATGTTTGGAACAACACTGTCGGCCGAAGGGCCTGTTCTATGTTCAATACTGGAGCAATTAGATTCAGGGAGAGTAACATGAGGCTAACTGGGGAGCAGATGTTACAGGGCTGGGGGGGGGATGTCACAGAGAATAGGGAGGGCAGTGACCACAGAAAGGACTGGATAACAAGGATGAGAGTTTTAATATGGATGGCAGAGACAGACTCAGTCACAGAACTCTCAGGTTGCTAAGGGCTGAAGGATTCCCTGAGCAAAAAAAAAATCAATGTGTTAATAAAAATCCAGTTTGTGACACAATTTGAAGAGTTGTATGTTCTGAATATGAAGCTACGCTCCATTTCACATCAGTTAACAGATCGTATGTCAGACTCAGTGTACTGAGTAGAGCAGTGCTGGGTTCAATACTGAGGTGAGATGCTTCTCAAAACAGACACACATTCGTCCAGTTGGGTTGTGGCATGTTCCAGGAAAGCAATAACGTGGGCAACAAGTTTGTGGGAGCGGGGCTCAGACAGACTCACTTGTACCTCCCCTCCATGGGCAGATCCACGCTGAAGGTTTGCACTCAGGAACCAGCTTGACAAGCCAAACATTCCTGACAGTCGCTACACCTTTAAAGGGGCACTGTCATCCTGCCTGTGGGCACAAGCCTTACCCTGATAACGGACCCGGTGGATGCTTATTCTCTGGTCATGGGCAAAACACGAGTTTGCAATATTGGCAAAGTTTAAAATACTTGCCCTCCATCACCCCACCCCTCCTCTCCTGCAGGAGCCAGCTCACTGGCCATCCCACAGTTACCGGTGGGCCTCAAGTGGCTATTCCTCAGGCAGGACTGGATCCCAATCTTCAATATAGTGTGCCCCTACCCCACATCCAGCAGGAGTTATCAGCTGGCAAACAGGGTCTTGGACAGTAATCTCACCCCATCTCTTTAGTCAATACAGAATGATGCAAAGGCCAATTGTTGCTTCTCTCCCTCCCTTGCCTTTTCGGTGATCAGCTAATTTGGCACACATCACGAGATGTGGTCCCATGCACATGATAATCCACCACACACATTTGCCTGTTACTTCGACAACTCACATGGTTTAGCATTATTTTGACCTGGTGTTGATGACTAACATTGAGATGAGCACAGAGTTCTGGCCTCACTGGCCATTCATTTGGACAGTGCACCTTTAAAAGGCTATATGCCTATAAAAAGCACTTGTACAAAGCTTTAACAAAACACACTGATTTACAACCCTGACCAATCAGATATCATTCAAGCCTTCATGCACTACAAAGCTGGGGAGAGCTCCCTCCCTTGTTAGTAAGCAGGTAACCATTAGTGGTGTTAGTAATGGTTAGTAAAACCAGAACGTCCTGGTCAAAAGGATTAGTATGTTTTTACTTCTAGATAGGTTATCTGGCCTCTTAAGAAAAGACAAGAAGTTTTCTGTATCTCTCTGACATCTTTAACCCATTCACTGGTCCCCTTCTAGATTAATCACCCTTTCTAGGACGCATTGTTCCATTTACTTTTTAACTTTTGCAACAAACTTTCCAAAGTTCTTTTTGTTGGCCCCTCCCAGCCAATTTTTGCCTTTCTGCTGAAGGTGTTGACTCCCTGCTGAACGCTGGATCCCACAGATGTCCAAGCGGCTACTGTTTTGAGGTAGATGTCAACAGACAATTTTGTCATAAATCAAGTGAATGTGTCCCGTTGCTAGGGTTACCAAATCGGCAGGATAGCCCCTGAAGTCTCCAGGAATGAAAGACTAACCTCCAGCAGACTGCTGTGAAATGATACAGGAGGAAAATGATCGGGACATTAACTAGCGTTAGGTGTGGAACCACACAGAGACATCTGGGTCCATATTGTGCCATTTAAAGTACAGTCCTGAAAGGGTGAGAAATCTTCTCATGCAACAATACTGCCTGACTACTGTGAACTTATGAAGTGGTAGGAATTACCTGCTCCCTCTCTTCCTGTGAGATTCCCACGGTGAGTGCCTTTAGCATCAATAAGCTTGGGCAAAGCCCAGGTAGATGACCCCTCTGTGCCTGGTCTTTGATGTATGCTGTACAGTAAGTGACAGAATACCATACAGTACAGCTAACACTCTGGAAACAGGTAAGGTCAATATCCCAAGGGATAGATAGACGTGCTCCAGCTGATTGGGTAACCACAAACTGATCCCAATCACGGCTGAGCATTTAGGTGACAGCCAGCATTGGAGAACCTTGAATGACCTTTAAAATAAAAAATATTCACAGTATGCCAGGAAATGTATTGACTGCACAAGAGGAGAAGGGACCTTGAACCCTCATCCAGGACGATATGGCCCTCTAGGCATCTTAACAGCTGATGATGCCCCCTCAGCTATACCTACCTGTTGGTCAAACCTGGAGTGAAGAAAATAAAAACGGTTCGTGATAGTGAAAGGGTTAAAACACAAGTGACAAACAGGCCTTTCTCTGTGGTTTTCGGACCACCACAGGAAGAAGTCACTATCTGCCAAAACGTTTGGAGCACTTGGCAATGACGGAGATAAATCCAGACTGGAACTCATCAGGGAAGCACAGAAAACTTCAAACAGGCCTCTGACAGAGTCATTAGTAGAGTTGTTAGTACTAGTTAATTTTGTTAGTACATGCAGTGGTTTAGTAAAGAGCGTTCCTTCAGCTCTGAATGTTTCCTTTTAGTCGATCCATGCAACTTTATAAAACACCTGGCTGCATTTGACTTTGGCTCATGCCTGGTGTGAATGGCAGGAGAAAAAGCTGCAGTAATTTCTCAAGAGGAACAGGCGATAAATTGCAGAAGAAACAATTCCCCAAAAATCAAGGCAAACAGAAAAAAAAACATACAGCCAGAGGGTGCTTTCAGAAAGCTGTTGGGGCGAGGTGTGTTATAAATACATTAGTGAATGGGGACAGTGTCCACCTTTTGGGAATAAGTTTGAACCTTCCCACAACACAAGGGTGAAACAGGGGACACCCACTATCTGTTATGGTCTGTCCAACTGAAATTCCCCAACTGCCACTCTCATGTCTAGCTCTGTCAACTTCTGTCTGCGAGCCAGGACAGTTATAAAGGCCCTCCTTTAAGTAAGATGCACTTGTCTCTGAAATAGCAGCAAACACTCCATCATTCTGCTTAATACAAGAAAAAAAAGTTGTCAATACTCCTCCATTGACTATCTTCATTCTTAGGTTTCTACAGAGCTGGCCAAAACCCAGTCTCTTGTTCACATGCGAGTGGCCAACACTAACTTGGACCACGGAGGAGGAAAGTCAAATCATAGTCTAATCCTATCCTTGGGCAGTACACAGTTTCCAGACAGGGTGAGGTGAGGAGGGTTTGGATGGTGGTCACTGGATGTCAATGAGGAGCAAGAACCTTTGCCTATTTTTTCCCCTTTCCTAGCCCAAGTGTGCAGAGGCCAACTGTAACCCATGTACCCATGTCTCCATGGATGCTGCCTGACCCGCTGTGCTCTCCAGTGTTTGCTGTTTTCAGTGTCAACCGTAACCCATCTACGTTGGCCGGGTTCAGGTCAGCTAACTCAACAAAACACTTTGTGGTGCTCAGTACAGCAATGGACTTTACGTTTTCCTCAAGAGCCATCAAGAAAAGTATTAGTCCTGCAATATCAAAGCAGATCGGTGAACTAAGCATGAGAATATTGCAGCCCTTCCTGTTGTCAGGAATTCTTTCTTTGAAAGAGGAAATTTTCTCTTACTTCCTTCAAACTGTAGGATTATGGGGAGGTGATGGTGGCAAGTATGGTATGGATTAGTCATC